TTTTTTTTAATTTTTCCTTCTTTCTTTTATTATAGAATTTCTATCCTTCAAGATTTTTCCTTTCCCTATATTTCAACATTCTTGATTTGCACTTTAGACATTTGACCAATTCTATACGGCTTCTTTCTTTCTTTCTTTTTTTCTTTCTTTCTTTCTTTCTTTCTTTCTTTCTTTTCCTTTATAAATTTATTTTGCCACTTTCATGTATTTTCTTCCCGTCTTTCTTTTCTTCTTTCTTTCCCTTCCCTCATAATTTTATGAATTTTTGTCATATGAATTTATTTTCTTTCTTTCTTTCTTTCTTTCTTTCTTTCTTTTCTTTCTTTTCCCTCAAAAACTATTTGCCATTTGAATTTCCTTTCTTTCTTTCTTTCTTTCTTTCTTTCTTTCTTTCTTTTTCCTCATAATTTTATTTTTCATTTGAATTTATTTTCTTTCGTTTTTTTTCTTTCCTTTTCCTTTCTTTTATAAGTTTATTTGCCATTTTCATGTATTTTCTTTCCGTCCTTCTTTATTCTTTTTATTTTATTTTTTTCCCTTCATAATTTTATTTGTCATTTGAATTTTCTTTCTTTCTTTCTTTCTTTCTTTCTTTCTTTCTTTCTTTCTTTTTTTTCTTTCTTTTTGCTTGCTTGCTTTTTGTTTTTTTTTTCTTTTATAATTTTATTTAACATTTTCATGTATTTTCTTTCTTTCTTTCTTTCTTTCTTTCTTTCTTTCTTTCTTTCTTTCTTTCTTTCCAGCCTGGGTTGAAATCCTATTTTGTTTCTTCTAATTTCTCTTTCGCTAAGCTTACACTTGTCACGCCCGGTGCCATATACGAAAGTCAGAAGATTTTATTCCACCAGTTATCCGAGTGGCTAGCAAAACAGAAAAAAAATAAAAATAAAAAGAAGAATAAATAAGAAGAGAAGAGGCTATGAAATATAACAAAGATGGGGACACTCGTTTGACTGTAAATAATGTAATTCAATGTAATGTTTTAATGTAAAAAGAATAGGAGAAGAAAAAATAAAAGGAATAAAGAAAAGGGGAGAAATAAAAGGAAATAAGGAAAAAAGAAAAAAGGTTACACAAAAAGGAAGAAAGAAAAAGGGAAGAAAGAAAGAAAAAAAGAAAGGAAAAAATAAAAGGAAGAGAGAAGAAAGGAAGAAAGAAAACAAAAAGAAAGAAAAAATAAGGAAAGATAAAAGGGAGAGAGAAAGAAGGAAGAAAGAAATAAGAAAGAAAGAAAAAAGAAAGAATAAAAAAAAAAAAGGAAGAGAGAAAAAAGAAAGAAAATAGAAAGAAAGAAAAAGAAAGAAGGAAAATAAAAGGAAGAAAGAAAGAGGGAAGAAAAGGAAAGAAAGAAAAAAGAAAGAAGGAAAAATAAAAGGAAGAGAGAAAGATGGAAGAAAGAAAAAAGAAAGAAAGAAAAAATGAAAAATAAAAAGAAGAAAGAAAGAGGGAAGAAAGAAAAAAGAAAGAAAGAAAAAATGAAAAATAAAAAGAAGAAAGAAAGAGGGAAGAAAGAAAAAAGAAAAATGGAAAAATAAAAGAAAGTGAGAAAGAGGGATGAAAGAAAAAAGAAAGAAGGAAAAAGAAAGAAGGGAAAATAAAAGGGAGAGAAAGAAGGAAGAGAGAAAATAGAAAGAAAGAAAAAAGAAAGAAAGAAAAATAAAAGGGAGAGAAAGAGGGAAGAAAGAAAAAAGAAAGAAAGAAAGAAGAAAGAAAGAAGGAAAAATAAATGGAAGAGAGAAAGAGGTAAGAAAGAAAAAGAAAGAAAGAAAAAACAAAGAAGGAAAATTAAAAGAAGAGAGAAAGAGGGAAGAATGAAAAAAGAAAGAAAGCAAAAGAAAGATGGAAAATAAAAGGAATAAAGAACGAGGGAAGAAAGAAAAAAGAAAGAAAGAAAAAAGAAGAAAGAAGGAAAATAAATGGAAGAGATAAAGAGGGAAGAGAGAAAAAAGAAAGAAAGAAAAAAGTAAGAAGGATAAAGAAAAGGAAGAAAGTAAAAAGAAAGAAGGAAAAATAAAAGGAAGAAACAGAAAATAAAGAAGGAAAAATAAAAGGATGGAAGAAAGATGAAACAAAGAAAAAAGAAGAATTATAAAAGGAAGAGGGCAGAAAGAAGAAAAAGATAGAAGAATTATAAAAGGAAGAAAGAATGAGGTAAGAAAAAAGAAAAAAAGAAAAAAGAAAGAAGGAAAAATAAAAGTAAGAAAGAAAGAGGGAAGAAAGAAAAAGAATGAAAGAAAAATAAATGGAAGTGAGAAAAAGGGAAGAAAGAAAAAAGAAAGAAACAAAAATGAAAGAAGGAAAAATAAGAGGAAGTGAGAAAGAGGGTTAAAAGAAAAAAGAAAGAAACAAACAAGAATGAAGGAAAAATAAAAGGAAGAAAGAAAGAGGGAAGAAAGAAAAAGTAAGAAAGGTAAAGAAAGAAAGAAGAAAGAAAGAAGGAAAAATAAATGGAAGAGAGAAAGAGGGAAGAAAGAAAAAAGAATGAATGAAAAAAAAACAGAAGGAAAAATAAAAGGAACCGAGAAAGAGGGAAGAAAGAAAAAGAAAGAAAGAAAAAAGAAAGAATGAAAAATAAATAGAAGAGAGAAAGAGGGAAGAAAGAAAAAAGAAAGAAAGAAAATGAAAGAAGGAATAAAGATAGAAAAAAGAGAAATAGAAAGGGAACGGCAAAGAAAATGAAGAATAAAAAATATAGGAAGAAAAATGAAGGAAGAAAACGAAGAAAGAAGGAAAAAGAAGGAGGGTAAAAGGATGAAAGAAAAAATAAAGCAAAGGAAAGAAAGAAAGAAAAAGAAATGAGGAAGGTAAGAATAACGAAAAAAAGAAAACAAGGAAGGAAAGAATTAAGAAGGAAAAAAGAAAACAAGGAAGGAAAGAATTAAGAAGGAAAAAATTAACAAGGAAGGAAAAATTAAGAAGGAAAAAGAAAAACAAGGAAGGAAAAGAAAAGAAGGAAAAAAAAAAAACAAGGAAGGAAAGAATTAAGAAGGAAAAAAAGAAAACAAGGAAGGAAAGAATTAAGAAGGAAAAAAGAAAACAAGGAAGGAAAGAATTAAGAAGGAAAAAAAAAAACAAGGAAAAAGAAAAGAAAAAAAAAAAGAAAACAAGGAAGGAAAGAATTAAGAAGGAAAAAAAGAAAACAAGGAAGGAAAGAATTAAGAAGGAAAAAAGAAAACAAGGAAGGAAAGAATTAAGAAGGAAAAAAGAAAACAAGGAAGGAAAGAATTAAGAAGGAAAAAAAGAAAACAAGGAAGGAAAGAATTAAGAAAAAAAGAAAACAATGAAGGAAAGAATTAAGAAAAAAAAAAAAACAAGGAAGGAAAGAATTAAGAAGGAAAAAAAAAAACAAGGAAGGAAAGAATTAAGAAGGAAAAAAGGAAAACAAAAGGAAAAATTAAGAAGGAAAAAAAAAAAACAAGAAGGAAAGAATTAAGAAGGAAAAAAGAAAACAAGGAAGGAAAGAATTAAGAAGGAAAAAAAAAAACAAGGAAGGAAAGAATTAAGAAGGAAAAAAGAAAAAAGGAAGGAAAGAATTAAGAAGGAAAAAAAAAAACAAAAGGAAAGAATTAAGAAGGAAAAAAAAAAAACAAGGAAGGAAAGAATTAAGAAAAAAAAAAAACAAGGAAGGAAAAATTAAGAAGGAAAAAAAAAAAACAATGAAGGAAAGAATTAAGGAAGGAAAAATTAAGAAGGAAAAAAAAAAAACAAGGAAGGAAAGAATTAAGAAGGAAAAAAAAAAACAAGGAAGGAAAGAATTAAGAAGGAAAAAAAAAAAAAGAAGGAAAAAAAAAAAAAGAAGGAAAAGAATTAAGAAGGAAAAAAAAGAAAACAAGAAGGAAAAAAGAAAAAAAAAAAAACAAGGAAAAAGAATTAAGAAGGAAAAAAAAAACAAGGAAGGAAAAGAAAAAAAAACAAGAAGGAAAAAAAAAAAAAAAAGAAAACAAGGAAGGAAAGAATTAAGAAGGAAAAAAGAAAACAAGGAAGGAAAGAATTAAGAAGGAAAAAAAGAAAACAAGGAAGGAAAGAATTAAGAAGGAAAAAAGAAAACAAGGAAGGAAAGAATTAAGAAGGAAAAAAAGAAAACAAGGAAGGAAAGAATTAAGAAGGAAAAAAAGAAAACAAGGAAGGAAAGAATTAAGAAGGAAAAAAGAAAACAAGGAAGGAAAGAATTAAGAAGGAAAAAAGGAAGGAAAAAATTAAGAAGGAAAAAGAAAACAAGGAAGGAAAGAATTAAGAAGGAAAAAAAAGAAAACAAGGAAGGAAAGAATTAAGAAGGAAAAAAGAAAACAAGGAAGGAAAGAATTAAGAAGGAAAAAAAAAAAAGGAAAAAGAAAGGAAGGAAAAAGAATTAAGAAGGAAAAAAAAAAAAAAGAAAACAAGGAAGGAAAGAATTAAGAAAAAAAGAAAACAAGGAAGGAAAAAAAGGAAAAAAGAAAACAAGGAAGGAAAGAATTAAGAAGGAAAAAAAAAAAACAAGGAAGGAAAGAATTAAGAAGGAAAAAAAAACAAGGAAGGAAAGAACAAGGAAGGAAAGAATTAAGAAGGAAAAAAAAAGAAAACAAGGAAGGAAAGAATTAAGAAGGAAGGAAAGAATTAAGAAAAAAAAAAAAACAAGGAAGGAAAGAATTAAGAAGGAAAAAAAAAAAAACAAGGAAGGAAAGAAAAGAAGGAAAAAAAGAAAACAAGATAGAAAAGAGGAAGGGAGGTGTCAAAAATAAAGGGAGAAATCAAAAATAAAGAAGGAAAAGCGAAGTAAGAAGGAAAAAAGTAAAGAGGGAAAAGACAGAAGGATAAAAAGAAGAAATTAAAATGAAGAAGGAAAAAGAAAGGAAGATCGTAAAAAATGGAAGAAGGAAATGGAAAAGAAGCAAGAATAATAAAAAGGAGAAGAAAAAAGTAAGGAAGAAAGAAAAAGAAGAAGAAAAAGAAAGAAATTGAATACAAGATATCCCTAGAAATGAACAGAAGGATAAGAATAATCTACCCACCGACATTATAAAATGTTTAGTTTGAAATCTAACGAAGTACAGACAATACAATGGCCAAAACCCAACAAGGATGAGGACATTGGACCAATTAGAAATATTAAACCACTTCCTTCTACGTTTCCCTCTGATATATAACAGAATAAAGAAAATATAAGAAACGTTTATAAATCTAACATGTTTCGATTTTATTTTAAGCTTCATCAGAAATTTATGGAAATGAGTTACGAAAGACAATGAAGTTTTAGTACTGTCTTGCTTATTTTTTCATTGTTCAGGTAGTTCTTTGCCGTTACTCAGATGCCTATTCCATATTATTCCCAGCATCCTTCTTGTTGTAGAATAGTTTCACAGTGGAGGCTTGTATTTCACTAAGTCGGTCCTAAAATGTTTCGGCATACAAAACGTTAGGAACTTGATATAAGAGTTAATGACGCAGCAATCTAGTTGTGGTGGTTGATACTTTAATGTCATACATACATATATATATATATATATATATATATATATATATATATATATATATATATATATAGGCAGAAACAAACAAAGTGAAGATTAATATTAATAATATCTATGACAACTCTCTAATCTTTATATATAAAACAGAGGATGACTGTGTGTCTTTTTACTCGAGTTCCATCGAACAGATTTTGACTAAATTTGGCACATACTTTGTACAATGTAAGAGATAGGTTCTTAGCTTAAAAAATCGAAAACTTAAAAAATCAATAATCAATAAAGCCGATCAAAATCGATAACCTCAACTGTCTATCTATCACAATTTGTTCATATCTATCTTTCTATCTCAATCTGTTCATATCTATCTATCTATATCTATCTATCATTTTATAATCTCTTCCTATCTATCAATCTATCTATCTATCTATCTAAAGTTTTTCATATCTGTCTATTTTGCTATCTATCTCAATCTATCTATCTATCTATCTATCTATCTATCTATCTATCTATCTATCTATCTATCTATCTTTGTTCATTATCTATCTATCTATCTATCTTAATTTGTTCATATCTGTCTGAATGCCTATTTTCCTATCTATCTATCTATCTATCTATCTATCTATCCGTTCATATATGAGTTTATATTTCGTGGTAACAACTTTCTATGGTGCTAAATATAGTTCCAGTTGCCAAATTATGCTCACAAGTCCATCCGGCCGTATTGGGAACCCCTCCTCCAAACCGATAACATCAAGATGTTAGCTTGCTGAAAAATCGACCATAGTGAGACTCGAAAATGAAACCTTCTAACTTCTGTCCATGAATAAAGTGATAAATGTAACCTACAAGCACTTCAAAGATTTCGCTAGTACTGTGTAAATATGGCGTTGCGAAAATTTCCTAATATGATAAAATATTCGTAAAATAAGAGGGGGGGGTGCAATATGGCGGAACACTGGCAGGAATTTAATGAGGAATCTGTTTTAGAAAAAAAAAAACGTTCTCAAAAACCGTCTCAAAGACTGCAGGACATTGTACATCGGTTGACAAACGGAGGGAAGAAAATATTTGACTCCAACAAGTTCACACCATGGAGTGATTTGCTCGCAGGAAGACATCTGTAGTTCCAACCACATGGTGATTTCTCAGTTGGCCGTACAGGACATTCCCATGTTTACAACGAAGGCAGATAAGCAGATAGGTTAAAGCAAATAAATATATCCAGACATCGAACCAGGCCCGTATGTAGACATACAAGTTACGCACAAACACAACGGTATCTATCTATCTATCTATCTATCTATCTATCTATCTATCTATCTATCTATCTATCTATCTATCTATCACTGATTGTACATTATCTATCTATCTATCTATCTATCTATCTATCTATCTATCTCAGTCTATTCATATCTATCTATCAATCTATCTATCACTGATTGTACATTATCTATCTATCTATCTATCTATCTCAGTCTGTTCATTTATATCTATATATCTATCAATCTATCACTGATTGTACATTATCTATCTATCTATCTATCTATCTATCTATCTATCTATCTATCTATCTATCTATCTATCTTAATCTGTTCATATTTATCCATCTATCCGAGTCTGTTCATATCTATCTATCTATCTATCTATCTATCTATCTATCTATCTGTTCATAACTATCCATCTATCTCAATCTGTTCATATCTATCTATCTATCTATCTATCTATCTATCTATCTATTCATAACTATCCATCTATCTCAACTGTTCATATCTATCTATCTATCTATCTATCTATCTATCTATCTATCTATCTATCTATCTGTTCATAACTATCCATCTTTCTCAATCTGTTCATATCTATCTATCTATCTATCTATATCTATCTATCTACCTATCTATCTATGACTGATTGTACATTATCTATCTATCTATCTATCTATCTATCTATCTATCTCAGTCTATTCATATCTATCTATCAATCTATTTATCACTGATTGTACATTATCTATCTATCTATCTATCAATCTATCTATCTATCTATCTATCTATCTATCTCAGTCTGTTCATATATATCTATTAATCTATTACTGATTGTACATTATCTATCTTAATCTGTTCATATCTATCCATCTATCTGATTCTGTTCATATCTATCTATCTATCTATCTCAGTTTTTTCATATCTATCTCAATCTGTTCATATCTATCTATATTGAGATAGATATAAACAAATTGAGGTTGATATCTCAATTTGTTTACATATATCTATCTCAATATGTTCATATGTCTCTCAGTCTGTTCATATCTATCTATCTATCTATCTATCTATCTATCTCAGTCTGTTCATGTGTATCCATCTATCTATCTGTTCATATATATCTCAAACAATCTCGCTATTTATTACTTACATCTATATGACTATTTTATTCATGTGATAATAATTTTAGTTTGTTGTTGGAAGTCAATAATATGGAATAATTGAATTAATTAAGAAGACAAGCAATAATGTCTGATATTTTTGTTTTCTATATCATGACAAAATAACGTTTACCGGTAGACACACACAAACGCATATATATATATATATATATATATATATATATATATATATATATATATAGAGAGAGAGAGAGAGAGAGAGAGAGAGAGACAAAGAGAGAGATGTATTATACGAATAATTGTATTTGGAATAGACGCCTCAGTTTTATTTTTATTTAAAACAATACATATCACGCCTATCGACCTATCCATTTTAGAAATGCTAATAAAGTTCACGTATGCGTGAGTCGATAGGCGTAATATACTGTGTTTAAAATAAAAATGTGACGTCTTTTTCAAATACGAGTATCCACTATAATGACGACTGAATAAAGAAAAAGGCTGCATTAAAAATAAACACATTAATTACACACACACACACACACACGCGCACATATATATGTTTTTAAACATTTAAATTTATTGTCTGTCCGAATGTTCTTTCAGCTTTCAGCTATACATTTAGCCATTTTCTAGGATTAAATATTTTAACTGTTAAAATAAGAAATAGTTTGTTGTATTTATGTTTTATAAAATTTTTTCATTTTTCAAAACACGGTCAAGATATTATGTCCATGTTCAAAGTTAATATTATTAAATGTTGTTTCGTTTGTTTTTATTAATAAAGCTTCCATTATTTTTAGCCTTTTTTTTTGCATTTGGATGATGCTATTATATTAGTGTTGTCAACAAGTATGTTACGAATATTGTCCGGTAGGTCTCCATGAATATTTAAATGAGATCTAATTGAGCTATGGTCAGAGAGGTGTAGAGCGAGTCTGCGTGTCAAACATGTTGTAGTGTGGCCTATATATTTTTTTACGTATTTTGATTGATCAAGAATACAGTTCCTTAATGGACATTTAAATTCGTAAATAATACTTGTCCTATTTAATATTGTGTATGAAAGAAGGGTTGCTACCTAAATACATGCACATACAAACACATACACATATGAGATAATGATATATGTATTTATATATCAAAACACTATAGGAGAAAACATATGACAATAGTTTACTTCAAGGCTCCATCATGACAAAATTATTCGGATCAAGTCAGAAACATTTTGTAATATATATATATATATATATATATATATATATATATATATATATATACGTTCTTACTAAAATTAGAAAACACCTTGCCGTTAAGTGGACTCGTCCTGAACACCTACAGTTCCGCCATATGCGAACATCTTTTAAATAGCAGAGATTGTGCCGCCAAATTTAGTGTTGACTGGTTCACCGTGTTGGCCCGGTCACACTCTGTATTTCACCTGAGGGTTCTGGAGGCGCTTTACATCGGGTCCCGCAAGCCTTCTTTGTGCAAACAACGTGAGTGTTTGTTGGGACTCGCTGTCATCTGCCTCTAGTTCCTTCTTGCATATACAAACATATATATATATATATGCGTAATTTTTTTTTCCACCTATTCACATTGTACATTTCTCTGTTTTAATATTGAATCTCCCGTGGAAGCCTGAAGAGCGGGAGCGAAACCGGTTGCTTCCCCACCTTGTTGTTGAGTTTTATTTTGTTTTTTTTATTATTTAATATTGTTTTAATATGTCTTGTAATATTAAATTTTATACTTTTATTTCGATCATATATATATATATATATAATATATTTTTTAAAAGGGTGTATATATATATATATATATATATATATATATATATATATATATATATATATCACACCCTTTTTAAAAGTTATTATTGGTGAGCTAATAATATTTGAGCAGACGCATTCACCAGTAGGACTCGAACCTGCAGAGGGAAAACTACGTTAGATCCTACGGACCTTAACCGATTCAGCCACATATAATCTTTGTCGATCATGTAAAATCTGAACAGTGCCTTTAAGTGAAATCTGTTGGAATGTTATTATTATTATAAATAAATATAATAAAATATGTATAATAATAATAACGAAAATTATAAATAAAATAAAATAATAACGGAAATACGGCTATCCCGCTAAAAGAGGTTAAATTCAGTCTCTTCGCCACGAACATTAATACGAGCAACTGTGATATGACTTTTAATACTACGGAGTAAATTCTCCCTTTTATCACATGTACCATAAAATATTTGTAACCTAAAAAATACACACGCCAGTACACACACAATTATAAATAAATTGTATGAAATTAAACATACAATTTGCCATGCTTTTCCTGTTATTTGTGCACGTTTTTATTTCCTGTCAAGTATGCTTTCATCTCTGTGAACAAAAGGCAAATTTCTGCTGCTATAATGTGAATGGATCCCGCACAAATCCTCATCATAGATCGCTAGAAATGATCTTATTTGCCCAGTTTTCTATCCAAACATAGAAAATGTAATTTTCTAAAGAATTAATGTTTTTTTTTCATTTATAAATCCGACAGATATTTATTACGTTAAAAAAACATTTCACAAGCATTCAGGCCCGTAGACGAAAATAAATAAACGCAGCGTCTACTCAAATATTGGTAGCTATAAAAAATAACGCTTAAAGTGATAAAATCAGTCGTACTAATAAATAAAACGTCCAGTACTTCTTTAGAAAATTTTATATATATATATATATATATATATATATATATATTAAAGACATTTTTATGTTTAACGTTCTTTTTTTTAATAAATAAATTGTCGGACTTTGTCCATTTCTTAATATATATATATATATATATATATATATATATATATATATATATATATATATATATATTAAAGACATTTTATGTTTAACGTTCTTTTTTTAATAAATAAATTGTCGGATTTTGTCCATTTCTTAATATATATATATATATATATATATATATATATATATATTATTGCAATACTTGAGAAATGTAATAACATCACAGGCATTGAAGCCATTCTAGCAATGGTACAACTTAGGTGGGATGGTGATATTGTGTGAATGGATGAGCCCAGGTTTCCTAAAAAGTGCTGTATGGCCAAATACCAAACCCCAGGCGTTCAACTGGACGTCCACTCTTACTCTACATAGACAAATTGAAAGACAACTTGAAAAGTCTCAACTTTTATCTGAAAACCCGGGAAGCGCAAGCATCAAATCGAAAGGAGTGGCGTAAGTCATGTTTCATTAAAGTAAAGGGTTTTGAAGACAGGAGACTGAAGCATTGTGATCAGCTTTGTCGGGCTCTGAAGCAGAGATGCCATGAAAATTCTGCTTTAACAAATTTCATCTGTCAGTCTGGCTTTGTCGCCCACAGCAAGCCTGAGATAGTATTATACGTAAGAATGCACAAATGAAATATGATTTTCTCCACAATAGCCCCTGATAGCATGCATAAGTGAAAAACAAAAGGCACCGTCGAATGCTGACACTCATTTATCGTCCACAACATGAGAGTCCACCATATATATATATATATATATATATATATATATATATATATATATATATATATAAATATAAATAACTAGACTCGTTTTTGAAAACCCTCGAATTTTTGATTTGTTGATCAAATCAATTTCGAGGGAAAAAAAGGTTTTAAAAAAGAAAGAGCTACAAACATAAACTTCTGCCGACAAAAATCGCACAGATGCAGGTCTGAAGCCCAAAGAAAAAAGCCAACCTTTCCCTGACGATCCGTTTAGGTGAAACCTAGGTAGGTTTGTCTGGCTCACTAGGTGTATCAATATATATATATATATATATGTATATATATATATATATATATATATATATATATATATATATATATATATATATATATATATATATATATATATATATATATATATATATATATATATATATATATATATATATATATATATATTATATATATATATATATATATATTATGAATATTCATAAATATTGTCTTCTCTACCGATTAAATCGGAGAAATTTTTCATATATATGTATACATTGTTAATGATTTTACAAGACAAGTTATTTGAAAAATAGAAAAAAATAAGATAAATAATAAATAAAACCAGAAGACCGGAAGCTACAATGACTAACACATAACAAAGATGGTGACACTTACCAACCTGACATTGTAACATTAAAAAGCTGGTATATATATATATATATATATATATATATATATATATATATATATATATATATATATATATATATTGATTTAAAATATGTTTTTTTCACACAGTTCCAACCATGTTTCAAAAATAGAAGCTAAAAACCCCGAATTTAATTTTGCAATTAAATTAAAAGCATTAGTTCCATTTCATCTTCAAGCGAATTTTACTATATATATATATGTATGTATTATAATTTTTTTTAAATAATTACAATTTA